TACGCATCAAGTAGAAAACGTATCGATTCCGACGAACCGAATCTAAATTGATTCTAGACTATACACCTAAATTTTCAAAAGTGTTCGCATCTTCTCGTTCGATATTCAGAAATGGTATGTGTAAAAGTGTGAGAAATCGTGGTTTAACAAATCTTCTTTACTGGAGGATTAACAACTAAAATAGCAGTGACAATGACGATGTAAAAAGAGTATGAAAAATATTCGTCGATACTGGAAGAAACATTTTAACATCCCCAAAAACTTGTCGCCAATTTGATTAAACATCCTTCTAACAATATCAATTCTGAATACAGACCAGTCTTTCAATTCGTCTCAACAATGAGTAATTCTGTCCGCTTGAACGTATCTCAGTTAGCCTTAACTAACACCGTTGCAGAATTCAATCTCGATCAACACTTAATAAAAGTGTACAAAGGATACACGATGTTCCGAAACTGTTCGCGCCTCTACTGAAAGCTTCTATGCCTCACCGTGTTCCATTAGTTATAAATAATCGTAACGCTAGCGATATTACGTCCCGTCTTGTATCTCGAAGTACATTGGCCGAGCGTACCAAGTTTGGCCCTATAAAGGAAAATGTGGAAGAGAAGATTAAGATGGAGAAGATTAGAGGTTAAGTTAAAGTAGAAACCGAAATTGTTGCCCGCTCAAGGACACTATTTCTCCCCTAGCTCCGTCGAGAGACCTGCGTACACGCGTCTTTTCTCGTCGCAATAATACGTCCTCCCTGCGGCATAGTAAATAAGGTTTAACTTTCGATGGCCCTGAGCAGTCGATATATTTGGTCTCTGTTATAGCAAGAAACTGCGAGACAACGATCCTGAGTGGCGCATAATTTGCATCCGCGAAGCTTACTCATTTTCAGTCTCTCGCCCGTGCGTCGATTCCAAATTTAACTTGCGAAAACGCGGAGCGTCGCTCCGAATGGCTGAAACAACGGCTCTTTCGTGCAGCGTGTAATCCTACCGAATAATGCCTAATCCACGGGCAACGAAAGAGGCGGGATCGACGCTAAAATGGGCGAAGAAGACTTGAAATATTCGTGCAGCGGGAATCGAGTTTCGCGCTGTGTGAATTTAGTGCCGCCTGGAACAATTGGCGACGGTGCCGATTTTCTGCCGTGCGATCCATCCGAGTTCTATTGCAATCTTGCTTCCTGAGGTGTCGTTTGATACGGTAGTCCTGGGAAGGCCGCACCCGCCGCTGTTGCAGCCGCGGCTGCGGCTGCTGGCAATCCTGCTGCTGCACCTGGTAGCGTTGCATAGGTATACGGTGTCACGTAACTTGCCGCTGCCGCGTTTGCTGCAAAAAGAAATCAACTGCTCTATGAATTGCTGCGTATGTTTCAGAGCAGGCAATTCTTCGAAGGAAAAGAGAACCTACGTATGTGATCCTACGTATCGAATATTTAACCCTTGTGTCAATAACCAGAATTGTCGTCTACTTCATCGTCCAATTTTAGTAGCTTTCCGATAACAAAGTTCTAAACTTGAGGCAAACACGGACAGGAACTGTGCCGAATAACAACGATCTGGCCGGGTATTTCAATCTCTTAGCTAAGATAACATATTTTAAGTGAGAATTATGCAAGAGGGTACCCGGTTATTGACATGAGGGTTGAAGTGTTGAAAATTTCGTTGAATTGCGTATCTCGTCATTTTCGAGTGAGTACGCATTTCGAGAACTGTAACAGAATTACCTGCGCTTTACATCTTTGAAACATAATTACCGTACAAGAATTTTGGAAAATTCGTATTTCAAACTAATTTTCGAATTCTCTGTTAAAACACTACCATCGCATAGTAAAAGGTTACTGACTACCGTCATCCATAATGACATACTTCCCACCACCACCGTAGACAGCACATCAGAACATTAGCAAAATTTGCATGTCGATCGTGTTGAATGCGAAGCCAACGTAAGCATGCAATATTGCGTTTCCATATTCTTTTCATCGTATGTTGTTATACCGGCAGCAGAACATTCCAGCGCAAATTAAAGAAATCTCTATACAAGCATTCCTCGTATAATCATACTCCTGAGAACGTACGGATAACATAGAAGCAATTGCAGATCATTTTGGAGATAAGATGATTAAAGATAACGAAAAATGTCGCATCACAGAAATTAGAAAAAAAAAAAAAGATTGCAGAAAGTTCTCCTGCTAAATGCAAAGTGCATTACTAATTTTTTTGACAAACGGCATAATTCAGCTTAGATACGTAAAGATTACAGAACATACACTAATTTCAATTTGAAGAAGCGACAGGTGAAACGAGCAGCAAATATCCTCAACAAGATTCCCAGCCGAAAAATACAGCAAAATGTCCTAGCTTTAAAAACTGATAAACTGAGCTCTGAGTAAGATTCTTGCACATAGTTGTAAAGTGAAACTCAGTTAAAAGATTGAAAACAGAAGCATCACTTTGAAAGTGAATAATTAATCTCGCAGTCTTCAAAGTGATATTAATCTTTACTACTTCGTTGCACAAATTCTTCTGCAGCTTTCACGCAGTTTTCTACTAAGAAAGAACACTGCTATCCCTATATATATATATATACGTGAGTTTAGAACAAACAAAAAGAATATAATTGTGAACAATAGTGAACGATTAGTAACGAATGAGTATTTTAGAAACTTTTGTCGAATGGACAAGATTACCTTCGTAAGTAAGGATTTCCTACATTTTCCACGATATTAACCTTTTAGATACGGTACGCCACTGTAGTGGCTTCCGCGGATGGCACCAATTTCGACGGTACGACACTACAGTGACTTTCGTGGATATCATGATTTTGGACGGTATTATACGTTCTTTGCTTCATTTCGCATTTGTTTCGCCTAAACCACATTTCCTGGCAATATCGAAGCTGTCGTTGAAGAGTACACGTGTCAGAGAATCGTCATGAACGGTTTCTGTGCCATCCGCGGCAAGGCGCGCCGTACCTAAAAGGTTTAAAGAAGCGAACGAAAAGAAGATTCGATTCTCAAGAAGAGAAGAATATTACAAATTTCAGAAATGTATGGGAATCTTGCAGGGATTCGTCTTATGAGTACAGCTACTCCACAACGAAACACGTCTCTCTCTCTCTCTTGCTCTCTCTCTTTCTCTCAACCGCGCACGCATTTTCCGTTCATTCCGTCGTTCGCGTATTCGGCTGTTTTTTTTTTTTTTCAATGTGCTTGGTTTTCTAATAATTTTCTACCGTTGCTACGTAGCACGGACGGCAAAAAGGGTGGCAGGAGAGCTTTCTCCAATCGTTGGTGTGCCAGCACCGCAGGGCTGCTGCCGTTGTGCTGGTGGTGGTGGTGTATCAGCCCGTTGCTATCCTTGCTCTGGACACTTTTCAAACACATACCAGCCGCGGCGGCGCTGGTATAAGGATACGCCTCGGCGAAATTGTACGATGTTCCTGGATACGTGGCGGCCGCTGCCGCAACGTTCTGGTACTCGTAGAATTGGGATGCTGCTGCCATCGCCGCTGCGTGGGTTAACTGCGTCGCCGGAAGCGGTACCAAACCACCTGGCGCTGCAGCCGCCAGGTAAGGCGACTGGTACACGTAACCCGGTGGCACCCTGAAATCAAAATCGTCCAACGGTTAGAGTGTCCTGCGACCGATGGCCAACGAAACGTTACTCATACTTCTAAAACCAATAATACTGGTTAACTAATCGTGATGGACTATCAAATTAGAACACTCTAATCCTCACATCGCAAAAGCGTTTAATATTCGACCGGTGTTGATATTATTGGTTATTGCTAATTAGAATCGTTGTTTTCGGCAATGGTACGTGAAATAACTTACCGATCTCTACAAAACTGTTTACACATTTCATGCATTCGGTTTTTGCGTTTCTGTTAAGCTCGACAAGAGGAGCATAAATCTTGTCTCCCGGAGGAAACTAACAATTGTCGCTTCTGCTTCTCTCATACTACCCGCCGTACTTTGTTTCCCCTTTTTAAGAAAGAGACATATACCTCAACACCCGCTACCTTCTATCTCATAATTCCGGAGGAAACATTCTCTCGCGTTCAAAATCTGCAACTCCTTGGGGCATTAGTAATTCCAGCAAAACACAGTTATTGTCTAGATGCAAGAGCCAATAATATCAACCGCTAACGTTGTGCGCAACAACGTTATCCTCAAGGATCGCCGAATCCGACTATCTACCGTTGACGATATCTTGCAAATGTAGTGCTCCCTGTTGCTCTCAACTTCGAAACAGTCCACCAAGATTGCTACACAATCACACTTGCTGTTTTGGTTTCGGTCAATTGAGTTCCTTTGTTTTCCAAACAATCTCTTACCTTGTTCAAGGTAATCAACGGAACTCGATGGACACTGTAAACTTTAACAGTACGTTTCTTTCCGTGTATAGTTAAGGACTGAAGAGAAGAATGAAAGGAGGGGAGTTGGATTCTTACACGTGTGTAGCTGTGTGTATAGCGAGTGTGTTGCACGCGAGCGATGCTTCGCGTGCGGCTAAGTAAAGCGCGAACGCAACCTTGCATATAACCCCCCCATATATTTCTCAATTAAGATAGACGATTATTGGAAAAGCGTTTGGTGCTAACTTTCTCGCATAGATAATGCGGTCGTCGCTAATGGACTCCCCGACTTGATATTACAAGACCGCCGGTATTCGCATTTATATGTCACGATTTTTAATGCAACTCGTGGTACAAGGAAATCGATAAGAAGGCGTTCGTTCATTTTTCCCATTCGTAATTTCATGCGAATATACCACTGTTTCGGGTGAAAAGTTCCACGTGATATGAAACTTTACTCCGCTACAAAACAAACGTTGCTCTCGCCACGTTCTCTACACCGTTCACGTGTACCATTGAAACGATATATCACTCGACAAAAACATGTATTTGTGTATTTGTGTCGTGTCCGTGTGGAAACTGTTCGGTGCACGAGTAAAGGGGAGGGGGGGGATGGGGGGCAGGTGAACGGAAAGCGGCGCGTTATTAAAATGATAACAATGGTGGTATCACTAAGGCGTGACAAAAAATGCGCAACAAATCCAGTAAAAGAAAAAAAAAAGAAAAATCCTCAATGTGTCGGCAAAACAACAGCAAACCAACGACAAACGTGTGTGTGTGTGTGTGTGCGCGCGCGCGCGCGCGTAATGTGTTTGCATGTGACTTTACGAATATAAAGATACTTCTCGGCACACGGCACACGATTACCTAACACCAACGTTAGTACCTAAATTTACAGGCGTAAAGGCGAGATTTCCTATCTAAGACTGTCGCATGCGACACATCAAAAGGCATGCTCCTGTTTTCTCACCGAGTATTTTTGCAACGCGTGCGACTGCGATTCGCCTAGTCTAGCTGCAGACGCATGCGATCGGTCACTATTAGAAATTGCGTTATCGTCGCGAAGAGATATTTTACTTCGGCTAACTTGAATCCGTCGGAATATTTCATTTCGAAGGTACCGATGAATGATTTTGTTATTGGTAAAAGCTGAACAAACTTCCTATTCAAGTCTACTTGGACGTTCCTCCGTGTGTCAGAAAGCATGCGCCACGTCTGATTGCATGTACTTCTCGCAGATAGGAAATCGCGCCTTAAGAAAGAGAAAGAAAAGTGATACGTTCCACAGCAGTGCCTCTGTCTCTGCCTCTTTTCCCTCTTTTTCTTTTCGAACGCGAAAACTCGTCGCCCCGACTCACGTTTCCTTCGAACGTTCTCCAAAATTGTCGCGCGATTAAACCCTCGTAGCACCCTTCCAATTCGATTATCCTCGAAACAGTTAGCGGTAATTTGCAGGTGAACTACGTGACACGAACGACCAGTATCGAACTCGTTCAATTTGTTAATTTCAACTGGTATACGGAATATTAAAGTACAGTAGTTCTTCGATGTTTTAACAGTGACCGCACCATGGCCCGGCTTTGAAATTTCAATTTAAAACCATGCACCTGTTTTTCCCCCCGTATTTTCTTAAAAATAAAAGTATTACTATCTAAAGGCTGTTTCCTATAGTAAATTGACAATCACCTTTCGAAAGAAATATGATTAATTTCGTAACCGGTGATTTGCCCGGATAAGTGTCGGTACGGTTAGTGCTATGATAAATCTTTTCGGTACTCCTTTTGTCGGCACAGTTCCTACGTGTGCAATGCTTGAAACGTTTTCGAAGAATTTTTCATAACAAACAAGTGACTCAGAAATCGCGTTTCTAAAGGACATACAGACACAGGAGACAGCCCTGAACTTTTTAACGGATCGATAATAGCCAGTGTCCAGTCCACGAAGGAAATCAATATGTTGTCCTGTGGCTTCAAACGATAGTTCGTTCGCTTCGTCGAATTAGTGCACACCGCGGCGACATAGAACCTTCGAAAGTCTCTCGACAAACATATGTATGTATGTAGGTGCCACTCAACGTCTCAATTTGTACGTTAAAACTGAAACGGCATTCTAATTCGCACTTAACGCAGAATTGTATCTATTTTTTAAGAAGTGAAGAAACGAAGAGAAACTCGTTAAGTAATTAGAATATCAATAATTCTCCGCTTAAGCGAAGATTTACGCGATAAGCTCTATCGTGGGCGAAGTTTCAAAGTAGTTATCTGTAGGACAGCTGCGATAAACGAAAAATATTAAAAAGAATACGCGTTACACACGATGCGAACGAAAAATTAGCTGCTTCGATCGCCTGGAGATCGGCATTGACGTGCATTAATTGAAATCATGATTTCATACGATAACACTTAACGAAACACGAAAAGAATTACATTTGTGGAATAAAACAAAGGACAAGAGAATCCGGTACAAAAAAAAAAAAAAGAAGGAAGTTGATCGAGTATATTTCAATAGTACAGCGTATTTCGATCGTCAGTTGCGAAAATTCAGCAGAACGACGAGAAAGTTGAAATGATGAAAATGTGGGAAAATCAAATGGAAATAAAGAAAGAATAATCTTGGAACTATTAATCGGAATGTGCAAATAAACGTCACGCGACCGAGCCTAGGATTACGATGCTTTATTACTGTCACACCGCATGCGTAAGAGGACATCACCTGCTATATTTTTTCGTTGGACTGATCGTCTCGAAGATTAGTTTATCGGCGATCGTCGTAAAAATATTACACTTGGCTTGTTACCAGATGGCTACCAGATGCTTTCTCGGGGTACTTGCAGCCAATTTCTCGGTTCTGATAATTTCCCCCCGGCAAGAACTCCACGCCAAGTTTGCGGAAATTAATGGGATATTTAGAGTCGCGTTTATTTCCATGCCTGAATATTTCTGTCTGACCCGAAATGATGGCAAAGTCCTTTGACTTGTAAGTAAAAATCTCCACTTTAATGGATCATTCATGCTCGCTAAGTGCCATTTACATTACTTCTTATTATACGCGCGAATAAAATTCCTCAGAAAATACTGCCCGCTATCCTTTAAAACGACCTTCGATTATAATACGTAGAATAACTGTGAAACTATTTGCTGATATGTAATAAAGTGAAGTCAGTAGCATTGACACACATCCGTAGAAATATATTTCGCTAAAGCTTTCTTAGATAAATACCGAGAATTTTCAAGCATTACACTTGCTGCCCTGTACTTTTATGCTTTACGGTATTACGCTTTTTCCAAGTTGAAGTTCTAAGCGAAGAAGAGTCATAAATATTGAAATATAACAGAACCGGTGTACGATATTTGCATTTTGGGAATCGCAGTCGAAATCTTGGATAAGAATATAAGTTCGCGAAATCACCTCATCTACTCCGGTATGGTCGTTTCTGTTCTTCCATTTTCTGTCGAATTTATCTTGCTGACGCATCTTTGCCGCGGTCTGTGCATTATGGATGGCTCGCGTGTCCTCAACCCCACTGTTTCTACGGTACGCGTTTTTATTTTACTTCCTTCCCTTTATTTCACGATACATATGTACGCACATGCGCGAATTCCATGGTTGCCCATACCTTTAAAGTCTAGCTGCACTTCTGCCAATTAACAAGTCGACCGAGTACACGCGCAAAACAAATTCGATCGTACTGACACAATTTGTCGGTCGTGAGAAAATCGTCACCGTGTATATGACAGATATCTGTGCAACGATGTAACGGACGATTTATTCAAGGTGGCGCTATTGAGCTGTCTGCATATTTAAATATCGAACGAACGAAGAGAGAAAGTTACTTCTTGTGTTTTCCAAGACTTGCATTTGCTGAAATTCTCGTATTATTGTTCCTCGAATTTTTGAAACGGAACGGTAATTGTTATTACGATTTGCCGCGGTATTGGTGGATTTCTGAAAAAAATGAAAATGGCGGTGAATTTAAGCACCGCGCGATAATTATCGGATTGAAATGCGATCGGGAATTCTAACATTTCAGTCGACGCGATGGTATATCAATCAGCGAATAAAGTGACTAATTGCCGTCAACGAGTTCGACGTAATTGTAACGGAATAATTTCCAAGTAATAGCGTCGATCGTCCCGGGACCTTCGTGCCGAAGTGAAGCGGTTATTTTAATGGTCAACGTAATTTTCGCGATGAGAAATTGTCGGCAACACATCACGACGGGACTCGCATAAAACTTTTCATACGA